CTAATATAACATAATATGCGATATGCATTATGAATGCTGCGCACGCAGTACGTAGTATGGTGAAAATTTGAATAAATATCTTACGCTAAAACAGCTATTAGACGACAAACGATAATGTTCTTGAACAAACTTTATGTGGCTTATAACGCAGAATTTTTGCAAGCTCGCACTAGAAAACGGTCAATTAATGTTAAACTATAAAATGAGACTAATCGGTCGTCAGTTAATGTACCAATCGTTACGGATTGCCGTTGGAACGATACAGTGCACAATACCCACAGCCGAAATGGAGGATTTAGATTCACCCGTTAGTTTGCCATCAGACTTGTCCAAATCGAGTTTGCAGTTTCTGTTTATATTTTCCTACCGGGCTGGCCAAAGAGATTTTGTTAAACGACAGCTGCCAATGTAAATCGGACACTTCGAGTTAATAACTTGATTGTGTTAACGATAAATAATATTAATTTAGCTGTCATTTCAGATAGGCGCCGCATAATATCCAACCCCGGCGTTCAGGTCACGTCATCTTCGGGCGACCGAGTTGTTATGTTAAGCCGGCTTGAAAACGACTTGAAGCGTTTTTAACCGGAATAAAGCACGAACAGTGCGGCTCTGTTGGCGGCTTTTCGTCATCGCCTCGAGGGTTTCTAACAAGGTAAACGCACCCGGGTCGCGTTGGCCGATAGGCTGGCTGGCTATAAAATATATTAGCCGTGTACGTTCGGCAATAAAATAAAAAAGTTGCCATCGTTCGGGTGCGTAGTCTTTACTCGTTAAACGGCAAACCGCTCCGGTTTGACAAACCGTACCTATATATATATATTTGAACATAACTGTATGAATTCTAAATTATGCACCCGGCGGACTGTTTTGCAGTATGAAATCGATAAAATTGATATTATTATATATTAAGACATGTATAATAAGCAACTATGGGACGTTATATAAAACTATTATTGTAACTCGAAAAATTACACTATTCTTACACATAACGGACAGTGGACACACTGATCTTGATTTAATTGTCCGTTGATTTTCACTCTTGTCGCGGTCCTCCCGCTGTTTTGGACGTTTCAAATACTAACAACCGCTTTTAGAAATTACTGAATTAATTATTTAATTATATTACCATACGCTAGATTGGATTTTATTTAATTGCTCGCGAATTTCCTTAATTTCGTACTATATTATGTATGCACTTACAGAAAAGGGTCACTGTCGGTTTGCAGACTAATCTATCTAACACTCGCAATTCTTCATGTTAATTACTAAAATACTATTCAGTTTGATTTGTCTACAGTAAACATTGTACTTGTAAAAAATAAAATCTGAAGGAACAACTTTTGGCAAAACGCAGTAATTGTAGTATGTCTTTGACACGGAATTCTTATTGTTTTACTGTTTGGCGCTGCAACCCGATCCACGTGAAGCTAAGTAAATTACTCTATGTCGTAGATTTATCTGATCCGAAGACAGCTACCTATATAATTATACAAAGATGGATTGTACAAAACCGCAGCACCTACCATGTAACCGTGTTGCCTGTTTTACTTTATTCGGTGACCGTACAAGGAAAGGGTTATTCGACTTTCGACCTGCCGGGAAATGTTAAATAGAGGTACATAACGTTTGCGTACCCAAATTGGATAATTAATTATTTGTCAAAAGGCCAAATAACTATTTTTTCCACTGAATAATAATATTGAAATAACAACAACGTTTATTTTACGAACACTTAACATATTAGGCACTGTAAGTTAGGTATAAATACTTTCAGAGTTTGTTGAAAATATGATTTAATCAAACTGCTTTTAACCTCGATGATCTTTATACATTTATTTAATACAAATTAAAAATTTGAATTGCTTGCGTGCAGTATGTAAATATAGATTTTGTTTAATCGCCTAGTTGATTAAAAAACCAAAAATGCAATATTGTTTAGTTTTTTTTTTTTAAAGAATCAGTGTTATTATTATTATTATTTACCTAACCGACATAGGGTCGAATAAAAAATACTTAAGAGATAATAAATACGTTAATAAAAAAACATTTTACAACCCAAACCATTATGTTTTTGCTTACTCCAAGTAAACATGTAAAATATATTTACTCCAGTTTTCGAAGCCGAATGTCATTTTTTAGGTATACACGTCATGTATACCTCTCCCAGGACCTATTTGAAATATTGGCGATCCAAGGAAAATTATACACTTCGACTTTTGTTCTTCGGAACGCATTCAATTTAATTTTGAAGACCAAATAAGCACTGACGATCGGGTCAAATGTATAATAAAAACAACAGCAATAATAAAAATGGTCTTTATATGTTTCTCCTCAAATATATATATACACACATCTAAATTCTTGTTTGTACTCTTGTCACGATGTCATCGAGACAATTGATTCAACGGCATATTAAATTTTTTCTCTCTCCGAACTCCACCAAACCTTAACAGTAATAATAATACACAACTCGATAACAATAACCAACTCTGAACTTTGGTTACTAAAAACTAGTACTTGGAAATTATTATCATGTTTCAAATGTACTCGTTTTATTATTTTTTTTTGTTTAATGAACAATTTCGATGAAAATACATATATATAATGATAATAATTGTACGACGTGAATTGCGGTCAAAACAGTTTATAGTTAATACAAACAGTAGGTAGATAGTACCAACTGTCAGTTTAGATTTAGGATAGAAGGGTCAGAGAAAGTGTGATGCGTTTGAGTGTTGCAAAAAGGGTTTAGAGTTCAAACAATCCACTGGAGACTGTAGGGGAGTTTCGGCAGTGGAGCTGGTTAAATTGTTTTCTAATATCAATTATTTTCTGCTCTGCTTCGACGCTACGGCCAGTGACAAGACATAGAGTAGCTACCATAATAAAATATTCTTGTATAGCTTTGCATTGCGTTAATTAATATTTAACATTAATAACTAATCATGTACATATCGAGAATGGCTTAGACGGTTTATGCAAATTATTGATATGAATAGGTAAGTCGTTATATAAATATCGAATTTGCATAGTTTAAATTAACCGGGAAGCGCCTCTAGGCGTTTCGTCGAATTATAATTATATTATATTAACATTTCCAAGCATAGCTAAGGGTGGATCTAGAAGTTAAAGTTAATCGACAGAAAGATGGATGGCTAATCCGGGCAATGCTAGTAAACAAACAGTTTACACGAATTGAGAACGGATCAAAATATTTGATCCGCTTACAAAATATTAAGTATAAAATACCCGAAATTGTCTTTAAAGCCTCACCATATCTTGACAAAAAGTTGTTGTGGTTTTTACCTTAATAATAAAAAAAAAAAAATACAGACTTTAAAAACAATTGGACATGATATATGTAATACTGAATACACATCCAATTTACTTGTCTTATTTTCCAACCTCGAATTCCTTTAAGAGAAAGAAAACATTTTTTGAAAAAAACTGTCTCGGGAAAACAGCTTAACTTGTTATTTTATTTTCGTTTCAACCATCGTTTGACAGTGATATAATTTCCAGAGAATAAAAATCTATACACGATAATATATATTGTATTAATTTAAAAAAAAAAGCAACATTTTTTTTTTATCATTGTAATAACGTGTCAAAGTTGAAACTTTTAAGACTTATTAATTTTGTTTGGAGTTTTCCGGGTTTTTGGTCGCAATAAAGAGAGAACTTTTCAATTTTGGACCCCTCAAAGTATCAACTTGATATTATTTTTGAACCACCGTTTGAAATCGGTTAAAGGCGGATAAAGCTATGTTTTTTTTTTCATTTACTGTACTACAAGCATACATTCAGGGCATTCGACAAGTTAAGAAACTTTATTCATTTAAATACTACTGAAACCCGTTTCCAAACTAACTGAACACCAGATATGTACGAACAATGTAGATAACACAACTACAGTTTTGTAGAAGGATACGGAAATCTGATTATGATTACTTCAAAATAACCAAATTACAAAATGGCATGTTTAAATCAGCTAAAAACTTCTTCGACTTCTCTACAATATTGTACCGAGCCTAAAGACAGTGGAAAAGTTTCTTCCCTCCTTTGGGAACACCAATATCTGTATACACAAAGGATACAGTATACAGTCGACTCAGCAATGAATACACCGTACCGGCTCCTTAAAATGCAATCCTCAAAGCTTTTTACGCAATCGTGAGTTTTGTATGATGTTAAACATGTTAAAGTTCAATCTAATTTATTAGTCAAATATAGTACTCGCAATCTAATAATATCCTACATTTATAATAGTATTCTTGATTTTCTGCTCTATAATTTTTTGTTTAGGTTGTATACACTAGTTTAAATATCATGTGACAATATAATAAACATATTAAGTTGCCATAATAATTTAAAAAGTTACACAATTAACATTTAACTTAAACCCATGCACAAAAATTTAACACTCAATTACTAAATGGTCATGCTAGATCATTATTACTTTTGTTCAGAATTAGACGGTAATAATTTGCTTTACTATTACGACTACTTAAACTATTACTCAATTCATGGCGATTACATTAATCGTTAAAAAACGTTCTTCTCAGAAGAGTCAAAAATGTTAATTGACATCGTTTAACATTAATCAGAAAATATTTTGTACTATACAGTTCAATATCTTAAGGACCGACTAAGTAAAAATATACTTTTATCAATGGTTTATGTCATCAGCTTTGTGATAGACAATTTTCTACGGCAATAAGTACAGTTATTTAATAAATCCGTATATATAATATAAATCAACAGACAAAAGACATGAAGATAAAAGAGTACTTTAGCGATGTCGTATATAATTTAAAATGTGTTTTCGCCACTTCGCAGTGTAGTGGACGCGGGACGCCTATATCAGGTTATCTCTAAAATAACTATCTAAAGAATCATCACTCTATGGTTATATATTTATATTTTTTTATTATAATATATATAACATAATACATAATCGTTAAAAAATAAATCATAACATTAAACTAAAACACAAATTTACTAAATCTGAATAATACTATTTAGCTAAGATAATTATTACATATAATATGGTATTAACGTTGTCAATGGCCGTTTTTGCCTTTGGTCGCCATGGAAGATGGGACTCGAGTCTCGCTTAGGTTACTGCTTTCCACCGAAGCGTCCTCGTTGTTATAGTATTCCGAGCTGAAGCCACTTCGGCCTTCCGCTTCGCTAACGTCGCTCTCGTCGTCGGTGGCCTGCGGCTCCTGTTCGGCGGGACCGGCGGTCTCCTGTTCTGGGCTGTCGGTGTAGGGCGCCGCCGACGACGAGGTCGACGATAACCGTGGCGGTAGGATTTCACTTCCGTCCCGACCGTACCGCCGATGGTAACCGGGATTCTCGCCGAAGTCGCTGCCGGGTTCGGGCAAATACCCGCCTCCTCCGCCGCCGTGACCCAGATCACCGCCGCCGTCGGACGTCCCGTGGTCGCGAGTTTTGTATTTGATGAAGTACACTTCGGGCTTGAGCGGCTGCGTAACGGGCGGCGCGGGTATGTGTATGGGCGGCGCCTCTTCCGGTTTCGGGTGCAGCACGTAAATGAGCGTCTTGTCCAAGTGTTGCGGCGGTGGCGGTATGATGGGCGCGGTGGGTGCCGGCGGCGTGGGCGCCTTGATGAATACTATCTGATAGTTTTTCTTGGGCGGTACGTTGGGCACGATCACACGCTGTTTGCGGGGCGGCTCGTCATCGGGTGGCGCCACGTGCACGTAGATTGACTTGTGTATGATGGGCTGCTGGGCCGGCGTGTAGTCGTAACCGCCACCGCCGCCGCCGCCGCCGCCTGAAGAATACCCGGAATTTCCGCTTCCCGACGAAAAACTGGAATGGCCACTTCCCGAAGAGTAACCCGGACTGCCACTACCCGATGAATAGCTCGGGTTGCCGCTGCCAGACGAGTAACCCGAGTTGCCGCTACTCGAAGAGTAACCCGAATTGCCGACGCCACTTGTGTAACCGCTGGACGGTGGCGTGTCGCGGCCAAAACCGGTGGTGTCGAAGGGCGAGGAGCTAGAACCGCCGGACCCGGTGGAAAACGGAGACGGCGCGGACGGCGACGGTGGCGAACGGAACGGTCCCGGCGACGGCACGAAATCGGTAAACCCGGTAGAGTCGAAGCTTATGCTTCCTCCCGTTCCGCCTCCCGCCTGCTGGTAACTCTCGGACTGTTCGTTGTAAGTGCCCGACGACGATGGGCCGAATCCAAACGGGTCCCCGGCGGTTCGGCCTTCATGCGGGTGTTGTTGGATCTGACGTTGCTGCTGTTGCTGTTGGTGCTGCCGCTGCTGCTGTTGCGGCTTCCTTGTGTAGTACGGGTTTCCGCCGCCCAACAGCTCCCGCCCTATGTCGGCGGAGGTCGGCACGATGAACCGTTTCAAAAGGCCTCTGCTGTGGTCCTGGGTCGCCTTTTGGGTGCCGTCATCTTGGCGCGGCGAGGCGTTTTTGCTTGCCGTCTCTTCGTACGAAGACGACTCGGACGGTTCGGCCTCTTCCACAGACGACGCCCATCCGCTTACAACGCACAACGTCGTGATACATAAAACTAGCTGTTAACAAAACGATTACACGATTACATAAGTCAAATTTAATACTTGTTAACCCGACCTGATCTAACCAAAACAACATTGAACTCAAACGTTATGGATGAACACATTGTGTAATAGAACGAGTTAGATAATTTTCCGATTAATATTTTACATTAAAAACTTTCGTTTCGGTGGTTCCTGTGTTCGTGATAACACAAACTAATTACAATAAACAAAATTGCCAACTTGCGATATGACATAAAGTTACCATGCGCCATTTGACATCATGCAACTCTTTACACTATAGGTACTACTGTTTTACCATAACTCTATATTGAAACGCACGATAAGGCTCGTGGCTTATTGTTCTGTGTTCATAACTGCAATGTCTGAAATGAAATGACCGCCGACGTCGACTCCAAAATACGTTTGTTCGTTGAAAGTTCACCCAGTAGCCCACCCTCGGGTACAACCCGGTCAGGTTAGGGCCCTTAAACTTTTAATAAACAAAGTTCGTTTATTATTGTAGAGCTGCCACGTATATTTGAACACGACAACATTTATTTTTGTTTTTTCTATCAACCAAACTGAAACGAGCAGACGGATGAGATCAAAAGAGTTCCTGGTGTCACATTCTGTTTGGTACAAAAGATATTACAAAGCAGGTAAGACAAAAAAGTTTGATCTGTCGATAACACAAAGTCGCGTCGGCAGGTACATCTGGCATTTTACATGGACGATCAATTATCATTTATTTGTTTTTGTTTCGACAACGAGTTACGCGTTCACCGTAAACAACGTACCTAACATAATATATTTTTTACAAATTGATCGATTTCGGTTACCGCGGATAGTTAATGTTATTCGATTAAAAAGGGAAACCCGTACGTGACTTCGACGACCCACACTATCTGATTCGCATTTCGCTCTCGCTGTGAATAATACGAGATATTTTTATACACTGCAAGAGTTATCGTTTTAACCCTTACAAATTGCATCATAATAATTATACTCTACATGCGTTTACGTTACAACGGTTTTTAGTTGACAACATTTCAATGTGTTATATTTTAAAGTATTGTAAAATTAATTAGTATTGTATGCTCACTATTGTATTATACTAGCCCTTATTCTACAGTGTAACATTTAGCCAACAGAGTTCGGATTACTGTAGAAGATTAAGTACAAGGCTCAACAATAATAACTAGCGAATCTGAATGGACGAATTTGATCATATTAGCCGTATAGCAGGTTGTGTTCGAGTCCATTAGTCAGTTGGTATTTTTAGTACGGTTTTATATAAAACATTGTATGCATATTGAGCATTTTTTTAAATGCAATTAAAATCAGATATTATGGTCCAAATTCACGAAAATTTAAAATTGTGTCATAAAATATCGTCTAAATTTAATTTTTAATATAAATTCATGACAGAAAGCGTGACCTTATATAAACTAGTGAAATTATAAAATTAACTTTTTCGCAAGAATTTAGGCGAATACTAAAAATTAAGTTAATTATAACTTCATAAATACATTTTTTTTTTTTAATTTTCGTCAACATGAATTAAACAGTTAAATTAAAAAAAAATAAGTAGTTTAACGCAAACACTAATAATAGGTAGTTTTCAAATTAACTATACCTAATTAATATTTTTATTTTAAAACCCCATTTATTTTTTTTAATTAAATGAAAAACTAAGGTTAAACTAATGTTTTTGAATCAACGTCATTCGAATTATCATATAATTTAGCATACATTTTGTTTACCTTACAATTTCATATAAGTCATTTGTCCGGTCATATTATTTATTTAACGGAGGATTAGACACAAATTTCTACCATAACTTGGACATATTGTATTATTACATATAATACATCAAATAATTTTTTTATAAACAAATATTAATAAAAAAAAAAAATACTATTAAACTTATCGCGTCGATAGAGCTAATTTTAAAATCGTTTGTCTACCGAAATACCGAATTATGAAATCAGACCAACGCATATTACCTGATGAACAGAAGCCATCACACAGTATAATGTAAATGTTTAAATAATACGTCTAATCGCTTGGGCACAAAAACTTGAGACAAATACACACAAATATACACTAACGCGATCGCACGTGATGTGACCGAACCGTGAAGTTAAAACAAAAAAGTAAAATCGCACGTCGATGAATCCCTAAGCACGTCCATTGTTAAATATCGTACAAATGGTTTCTATTCCGCGAGACCGTTTTTTAATCGATTAATGGAAACAACTGTGAATTCGATTTCACTCTTCACCTGGACAACCACTACACACGCACGATCATTCGCCCGATTATTAGAATCACAACCGCTATATTTAAACAATATATTCAATTCGTTTTCAGTGTATAACAATAAGGTAACATACTGATAGTAAGATGTACGGAGTGACGGGTGGGTCGACAGATTTCTAGAGGGATGGACGTGTAGACAGTTGGACAGATGGATAAATAACAAAAGTTCACGTGTTCGCGGCTTAGGTTTTTTGTCACTAGACAACGTTTTATTTAAGACGATTAAAACAATCGATTGCTACGTTATTTCAAAATCGGAGTAAGGCGACAAAATCAAAAATATTTTACAGGTTTTGTGCCAATTTATATATAAGGGTCGCTTTGTTGATCTAGAAAATATTCCAAACGTACAAAATGATATAAATATTTAAAGAAATCAATCGACTCCCGTCGGGCATACACTTCTATGCATTTCAATTTCGCAGTATCGCCTTAGCTTAAAAAGTAAACTGACCGTGCAGAAAAATGAACACGGTACATATATTTGTTTTGTCGGAGGGTCTTATGTACTTCACGAATTCTCGACAAACGTCAGACCCTCGGTTTTCGGAACCGTTAAAATAAAAAAGCAATACAAAACAAAAAAAACGCATCGACCTCCGACGACAAACCAACCCTGTAATGGAGTCCTTACCGAGTATAAAAACTTGACGCCCATTTGTGCCGGGTTTCACGAATAGTAGTTATTACGGTTGGCGACTTCCACCGCGTGAAACATGTCCGACTTGTAGCCACTGTTAACATAACAAAACTGAACACGAATAACGTCGGTGGACCACGCGGAGGCACCGACGGTTTTTCCTTTCGTCGGGAAAAACCGGCGGGAGTGACGGGAGAGGGGGAGCTAAAGAAGAGCACGAGACGAGAAGTGGAAAAACTTTCCAAAAAACAATCTCAAACGACACGGGATAGCGAACGTCAAACCGTTTTTAACATGGCAATTTTTAACCAACTTGTTTCCCCCCCCCCCACCCCCAATAGTCGACCAAAAAACCCATTCGATAGATTCTTTATTGCATGTGTGTATGTGTAGATAGCAAAAAAATGTATACGTATATGCGTACGACAAATATCTTACCAGCCACATTTTTCGGTTAAAATTAACCATTTAGATTATTATGACAAGGATAAGGAGGATTTGTTCGAACGTCCGGTGTGCCTGAAAAAATCGAACGGGGTGTACAAAACAAAAATCATAATTTTATTAAAAAATGTTCGATGATGATGTATTACAAAAAATAAATAATAATAATAGCTCTAGTAGCATCACGTCTCTATTGTATAATAAGTAGATACGTTTAAATATTCGTTTTTATCTTTTAGCACTACGGGAATACTGGAAAAATTCGCACGGCTCATTTTAATATACACCTTAGCTGTTATCTAATATAGTAATACAATAATGTTATTTGATGTTGATTTATCATGTACAGCGTACAAACTTGCTTATTGGTATTTGGCCACGGAAAAATCATATTTTATTGTCGCTTATGAGTTTTCAAATTTAGCCTCTTCACGTCGATGTGCCACCGACATAATAATTTAATATTTTGACCTTATATATGTATACCGTGACTGATCTATCTTGTTGTTTTCTTCTCACAGGTACGGAATAATTAATAGAATAGCTCACTTCGATAGCAGCTGCTGTTCGCCGGGTAAATTAATAAAAACAAATTAAAAGTTATTGGGTGCGAATAGCGTGGACTTTTATTTTTTGCATCGATATTGTTGTGTAAAACTAACGAGCTTATAGAGTATGTGCATTTCATGGGGGTCAGGTGGTAATGAGCGCATGCAATCGAATTCCACGCCGGTCTATTGTATTAATAGACTCAAATAGTTTATACTTAATAGTTTTTTTTTTTAATTTCCCAACACGATCCGTAGATCTATACGTTAACGTTGAGATGCGGAGATATTTTGCATAGTTTTTTTTCTCAGGTTTTGCTTGCCGTCGTGACCCGGACGAAATTCGTCTATAATATCATTTTTTTATTATTTTTTTTTTTTTTTAATGGTGACAAGGGTAAAACTATTTGCAGTCTAAGACAAAGCCATTGCATGGTCACTGCCCCGTCTCAATAACGACGTCCCCGTGGACGGCCGGCTCGGGTCGATATAATGATGTTATATACCGCCCAGACGTTCCAGAAGTCGGTTCAACGAAATAATTACACCCACAAAGGTCGTCTAATTGATAAAACCTCCGTCCTATCTTGTGTGTGTGTGTGTGTATTTGTGATTCATGTTAATTCGTTAAAACACTATTACCGCCGGCTAAGGCGTCTGCGTGCAATGGCACGAGTCCAAAATATGTCAGAGAGCGCACGCACAAACACACCAGCACACATACTTACGCCCTTCATCCCTCGGTAGTCGTTTTCAAAGTTTACCGAATTTGTTCTCCTCCGCTCCGGCGGGTTTCCATCCAAATAATAATTTCGCACAAGAATGTGAGATTCCTACGACGGCCATGGCAGACAGGACGCGGTGTAATAATAAAAGAATTACAATAATCATTCTTTTAGTAAATTCTTTTTTTTTCGAATCAATTTTATTCGCCTTAAATTAAAATAATATAATAATAAATGATCGTTATAATTTGTATTTATGGAAGAAACAGAGCGGATGTACATATGTAGTTCCATGTTTGTTTCTTCACCAAATAACTACTTAGTACTTGATAATAATTATACGAGGGAGCGGTCTCTTGTTGACTTGTCAGCTTCACATAGACATTGCAATTACTGTAACTTTGGTTGAAAAACCGAGAGACACCCATATTATGTGCTTATACAATGAACATTTAAACTGTAAATCGTCAAACCTGAAATTAACTTAAAGGCGTGGTGTAGTCTGTCGGGCTAGTCGTAGCTTGCCACACTTTGATTCATAACAATTTATATAGCTACTAATAAAAAGTAAGAGCTTAGGCAAATTAATGCGAATTATATTTTATCAAAGGTTAATCGTCAAATATTTAGTTCTCAAAATTAGTTCTGAATTTTATTTAAATGTCATATTTAATAATATCAGTTACCTGTTACTGTCTAATGTATTTAATATTCATAAAAAAACAATTCTGTACATTTTTTTTCATCTAAATACACATCACACTCTATTATTCTGTTCTGTTGTTCATTCGATTTTGTTTTTCAACCAAACGGGATCAATATTAAAAATAAAAGCAAAACCCACCCGGCGCTCGCTTTCGTTGTGTATCAAAGTCTGTAATCTTTCAAACCTCAAAACACACTCATATTGCAAAAGTAGTATTGTGTTCGTGACACTGTTGTATGTACTTTTTTAAACTTCAGTTCGAATTGTAGTACGATATTTTGTAACCAGGTTCCCCAAAGGTTAAAGTTTTTGAAATTATTTTATGTTTGAATCCGAACAAGATTAATCGTTTGAGCCGAAAAATGACAACAACTGAAGTAGAAAAAATTGACCTTTTGAATTGTCTTACGAAACCGATGTATCTATGAAATATTTTAAACGCAATATAACAAATAACTTCCGACTCAATGATAATTCAATAGCATCAGTTACTTAATAAAAAGGAATATTTAAAACGAATAGGATCACGGTAGTCAGTAGTTATTAAAAAGTTTAAAAATGTAATTCTAATCCATAGTCAAAGAATAAATAAATAAGTGTACAAATCATAGTGGTTAGTAATGATTTTTTAACTGTTTGATCGTGTAATTAGACGTACCTTTTGAGTTTTGGGGACATTTTCTGGCCCAAAAAAAACAATTAATAATCATTGGTATGTATCTACTAATACTCTTTCAAAAATTCAGCATGTATAGCTGACTCCATCAAATGTAAGAAATATTGTAATACGTTTTTTTACATAAAACAAAATTATATTTTTTTACTTTGTTTGTTATAGGGAAACGTGTGTTCATATTCGGAAGAATTTAATTCCGGTAAGTACCTACTACATTTGTTAATGTACTAGTACTGTTGATTATTTTCCTTGGAAATTGCTCACCGTTGCTGGAAACCTAATACTATTAAGTATACCGACGACGTTCAAAATGCACCAAGATGGCAATATGTCACCGTAATAAGTAATTAATTAAAATAACGGACACCAACGCAAGGTAGAGATGGACCTATGCAATATATCGAAGCACAGAGGTCATACTCCTCGATCATTAATCTCGTCGTTCTTTCCAGCAACGGTGTGTGCCAAGTTTAGCATAAAAACCATCGGCACACATATTTTAACTCTTATCTCCAAATTACAAATCGAATACACTGAAATCTTTAAGTGGCTAGACCCTTTTTATGATCACAACACATTACTTGGATACATATACTTATAGTTATCATGCTAATAAATTAAACTTACATATATTCATAGTACATTGTTTGGGGAAGTGGAAATAGGTAACATTTCATAAAATAAAATACGAATAACAACTTTTTTTTTTTTTTAAATATTTAATTTTGACTGTTCGTGTACACACGAACATAAGATATATATTATAATGTCTTTGTGAGTCATGTTTTCTTTTCTTCCGCCCATCTAGTTAAACATGACGTTATAAGCTTAGTTATTTCACCAGCTAAACAGTACCAATAGTAAATGGGAACGATGTATAAGGCTGCCCGAACTTTTTTGTTTAGTTGTGAGTTGTTTTTAAAACTATTTTTGTTGTTATACTGTTAACATTTAATAACTCCAAACGACTGCGTTGAACATTTTGAACTAGAACAATTGCATTTTGGTTGTTTTTATTGTTGTAAACGCTTTTCTTTTTTTTCTTACATTATCATAAAATTACTATATTTTCACCTTTTTCAGTATTTTCCAGAGCTCTATAAACATTTGAAACATAAATGATAACGCATATATTTCATTCATATGTTAATTAAGAATAATTTACTGAACAATTTGTCTGGTCGATAACCCGTTTTGATTAATTCATTTTAATGTAACTAAAGTTACACATTTAGGACGAAAGGTGGAAAGCGGTTGAGAATCTAAAAATAATACTACTCTAAAATATTAGTGTAAACATTTAGTAATTTTATGATTCTGTAAGATAGCAATTAAAAGTATTTACAGTAAGAAAAATCACCAAATTGCAATTATTTAAAAAGAAAATTAATTTCTTACGACAATAGTACAACAAGAAATAAACAAAACAAATTTTGAGAATTTTTTTTTTTTTTAATTATATAATATTTCAAAGAAAAGTTGTAAACTAAATATATTTGTAAAACATATAGTAATTAAAAAACTATTATTTGTTTGTGTATTAAAAATCGGGTATGATTTATTAATAATGTTATATTTTGTCCAAAGTTTATAAAGATTTTTAGTGTTGTATAAAATATACCTGCACATAACATAATATAATATTACGAACAACATTAAATATAATAAAAACCTACTTTAAATATAAAGTTAATGAACTTTCAAAAAGTACTTAGGTAGGTAGTCAAATGACTCCGGAAATATTTGAATTTGTTTTACACTTTAAACACTTGTGATTGTAGCATTTGAAAACTATATTAAAAAACACTAACTCCTCGTTAAGTATAAGCACCCAGTCAATATTTTTCCATTACTGAACTTTGAAAAGATTTCCTCAACAAAAATAATAATAAACAATACTTAACAATAAATAAATAAACAACGTTTTCACTTTTTAGAGACTTTATGGTTTTAAAATGCTGTATAAAACTTTTTTTAAATACAAATACTGTGTACATAATATAATAACAGCTGTATTTTCCCAATTATTCTCAAAACACTTTGGGTAACAAACCAATTATGAAAGCCCTCCCCCCCTGCCGTTGCTATATTGTACAATCAATGGAATTAAAATTCTGAGACCCACCACACTTCCTAAATTAACTTTAAAAAACGTCATTGAAATGTTAGAAAAGGGAGCGTTACTCGCAACACCATACATTATTTTTTGTTTATTGCCATTAGTTATAAGTAAACATACTCACCCGGTATGAAGCATGACGTATTGTTTTGAACGATAAAAACGTCGTGAGTACTACCATTTTTTTTAACAAACGGGCTAAATTTATACATGTCAGAACACTGTAGGGTAATATGAGAAAAAAGTGGTCAGAACTTTATAAAACTGAAACTTGAAAAATGGTCAAGCATATTGATAAGTGTACACTGTACAGCCGACATCAAAACTTAATATGAAATATTTTAGAAGGATAAATAACATAGTTTCTTTAAAAAATACCGTTATTTATTATCACTAACAACGATGTATAAAGATCGGGGGATATACAACATTTAAGGAACACTTAATTGTCTGACAAGCACTGACGTCTGATTTAAGCAATAATATAGAATAATTAAAAAATATAAGGTTCGCTTACATTTCAGGAAAAATGTTACATATAATGTACAAAATTTCAGGTTTTTTAAACAAATATTACTTTTTAACACTACTTATTAGCTGTTATTTATAAAAAAAATGAATGGCTTTTATTACCATAACTTCATCCGACTTACCATGATGATTTGATCTATACAGCTACCTGTATGTAAATATGCGATCACGAACCTTCCAAGATTTAACCTTATAAATATATAAAATAATGTAATATGCTGCACGATCATGTCATTATTTTTTAAATAAAATAGATAAAAAATTATTAAAAATAAAACGTTCAGTTTATTTTTTTATCAGAGTGAATTTTAACGCCACGAAGCGAACACGGATGTAAATCACATCCGGGATTATAAAGGCTTTATATATACAACGAGAATCTTAATTTTCACCCCCGAAAGGTACGAGACATAATGTTGTGAATATTATAAAGTTACACAGAATTATAAGCAAGTTAGTCATACTAACTCGGCAGGCTTTATATTAAGCAATTAATTTAAATAAGTACGGCTATGACAATGAAAAGAACTCGGATTAACAAATTAGAATTTATTAGCATTATACTTGTTTATTCATCTCGTTAAGTCACGGTACGGACAACATTAAAGCATAATTCAGAGATAATATGTCATTTTTAATTTACTTTACTCAGGGCCGCGCCTCTTCATTTTTCATCTTCGCAGTGCTCGACTTTAGCCCGCTGTACAGCTATCAGTGTTAGAAACAAAAACTACAGTAAAAAAAAAGCTTAGTATTTTTGTTTTTTAATGCGTGCTTTAAGCTAGGCAACTAAACAATCATACATGATACTTAGTTTTAAGGTATTGGCATTGCGTCCCATCGGGTCGGAAATATTGTAAGGATAAAAGTTTCGGCAAACCGAACAGGATTAGCGTTTGGTAGATATAACAATGATGGATTAGAGGAAAGATAAAAAAAAAATAACAAAAAAACGCGTACTAAGTAAACTTTTGGAAAACTGGTATATTCCCAACAGAGACATAATCAGTCCAGTTTTATTTTTGGCATACATTTAGCTTAGGTTAAGTTAGATCCTAGTAGTAACTGTTTTGCTTTATCTAGTATTTCGTATATTTATTAAATGTAATAAGTATATTTTATTGTTTGTAAACAATTTTCAAATCGCAAAACCGATGTGGACTGTTTCGTAGTACTATACCCAAAGTTCTTGAGACATCAGTAATAATTCTAAATTACATACATTGATCACCACTACATTTATATTGTTGGTCTTATCTCTGAAGTATCAGTAGGATAAAGTAGTTCCAATAACCTTTCTAAAAAAAATCATATAAGCGAGAATAGATTAAGATTGTTTTAGCGCGTTATGAGTAGAGAATATTAAAAATCAATAAAAATGGCCATTAAGAGTATAAGAACCGCAAAAAAAAAATAGTTCAGATGTGAGACTGATATTGCTAGTTGTGTGTAAAGAATAATGAAGATGTTTTAGAAGATAAGTTAACGACTAATGTCTTCTAATAATCGGAACTAGAAATAATAAAAATTACATATCTTACTATGGATCTTGAAATTTTATTTTATTTTACAAGCACCCGCTTACTATATATATATATATTTTTTTTTTTTTGTAATAAAATAATAGGTGTGTGTCGTTCGTTACGGCACTGGACGTGTAAGTATTTCTGAAAAAACATATAATTTTATTTTCTTTAAGTTATAACTCATAATCTCTAAAGTATTTTCTACTACGAAAATATTATATCATTGACTGCATATATTTTATAGGTACCGCGTTGTTTGACGGCTTGTTATTAAATTATTCCTTTGGTGTTCTTATATAAATCTGTGTTGGAACACACACGGCCGGCCGCGAAGTGTCCCATCAAAACGAATGGTGTTACTAATACATATTTTCGCTTGTAAATACATACGTAATATTATACCACAAGTTAAAGAACGAAAAAATCGGCAAAAAAAAAAAAAAAATCACTTAGCATACGATCGGCCGGTATACAACAACGAGCTTCTCTTGTAATATCTACAAATTGAATTTATTGCGTACAATAATAATGATAAAATGAAAACAACATCGTGCAACAATGCCAACCCGTTTATATTCACAAAACGATCATCGACCGTGTCTAATCGCTTCATAGGTATCTCATAATATTTCTGTATCATTGTTAACAGACGCCCGAATTATATCCAACGGAGTCAAAGAAATTCGGAAACTGACGACTGTTACGCCAAGGCACAACCGACCGATTGCTTAATAATCACACGGGATGTCTATCACACGCCGTACGGCCCACCTGAACAATATTTTGTTCTGCTTCCTGTTTTCGTGACACACATTCGATGTAATAAAAAATACAAATTGTTACTTAAACTTTGCATGCTGTGCATTATTTTTGCGCATAATATTATAGGATTTACCACGACAAAGCATTTGTCGTGGTTTTTATCATAGTCGTCATGTCAAGCCAAAGTCAATTGCAACGTTAAAAGTCAGTTTAACGTGGCAAAAATGCGACCGGCTCTGGTCCGAATGCATGATTCCACCG